CCCTGGGGACAGACAGGGCTCCGACTCAGGCTTGGGGGTCCCCACATGGTCCCCATAGTACTCTGGGCACTTGGCTAAGAAGCAGCTGGGGAGCAGCTGTCACTTCTCTGTGCCTTCTCCTGCCTCGCTGGGCTCTGCTGCTGACTTAGAATTGCTGTTTCCTTGTCCTCAGCAGAAAGATCCAGAAATGAGATTACTGTTAAAGACAGCTCCCCTGCAGTGGGCTCCGCCGCTGGGGAGCAGGGTCCCTCTCCGGCCGGTCACTCTGCCGGGCGACTCTGTGCCCTGCTCCGCAGCTCTGCGCCCCACGGGTACTGCGTCTCCAATTACTCATCCCACAAGTGATGAGCACTGAGGTTGGGGGACAGCACAGCAGACATTGAGGCCCACCCCGCCCCCACCCTCAGGGAGCTCACAGTCTGATGCGGGAGCCCGACCGCGGACAAGCACGTCCGGAAGTGAGGAGTCAGGTGTGGCGAAGCTTCAGGAGGTCACGTCGCTGGGTGGGGAGCACGGGACGGCCAGGAGGAGGGGCCGGGGCAGCCCCGCTCCGGGGACACGGGCGGGGAGGGGTGCCGAAATCTGCGGGAGCAGTGGGGACAGCACGAACAAAAGGCCCGAGGTGAGACCGCGCTGGGAGTGTTTGGGAAGGGGGTCGGCATAGCCCCTCCAAGCGGCCGAGGGGAGACGGTGGCAGGGGAGTCGGAGAGCCGAGTTCGCGGGCGCCCAGGTAGTGCCTCCTGCTGGGGGAGCGAGGGCCCAGGACTGGGGGCAGAGGCCGAGGAGGGAGACGCCCTCACTGTGAGCGTGCGTCCATCCATCCGTCACCATTCATTCATTCACACTCACTCATTTTTTACTGATTATTCATTCATTTACCGTCCATTATCATTCACTCATCATCCTTCATTCATTCACTAGGCGTTTCGTGAACCCACACTCTGCCGCCCGCCCAGAGGATGAGTCAGACCCCTCCCTCCCTGCCTACCCGTGAGGGGCCCTTAGTCTGAGGAGGAGGGAGACAGACAAGAAACCCCCCTGTTGGGGGGCAACTGGGATATTTACCCACAGCGTGGGGTCCAGCCCTGGCATCTGTGGGCTGCCTGTGGGTGGCGTTCGGCTGTGTGCGGGCAGTGTCTGGGCATGGCGGGGCCATGTCTGTGTGGACCTAGCCGTGGGCATTTTCTTGGGGGGGTGCCAGGCCCAAGAGTAGTTGGCCTGGGCCCTGGGCATCCAGAGGAAGGTGGAGCCGGAGCTGGCAGGGGCCAGACACTGAGTCTAGAGCTGGACCTTTCTATTCTCGCCACCCTGGGGTGTATTCTGATCGCGCTGTGGTATAACTACCAGTTTACCACCTGGGTCCCAAGCGCGGGGCCCGTTTCACCACCATATTCAGCATTCTGTCCCCTGGGTGGGCCCAGGGCCTGCCACATGGACTCAGTAAATGTCTGTTTCGTGAGTGAATGAATGGCGACTGGTCAGCCGCTGTTACACCCCCTTCGAAGCCCCCGGCCCCTGCGCCCCGCAAGGCGGGGGCATTCGTTGTCTCTCTGGGCCTCCTTGATTCTCCCCAGGCTGACTCCTCCCATGCCCGGCACAGCAGGGGGTCGGGACAGTTGCGGGACTGAATGGTGGCATGCCCCAAGGCCAGCCGTGTCCCTCGGCCTGTCTGAACTTGTTAACTCCAGGGAGAAGACACTCCGTGAGGATGACAGTGGAGGGGCCCCTTGCCAGCCCCCATCAGCGTGAGCCCTCCCTCTTCGCCCTGCATCCCCTCCCCTCTTACACGTCTCTGCTGAGCTGTCCCCTTCTCTGAGAAGCCTCTCCAGGTCGCCCAAACTGAGGTCACTCCCTCTCAGAGTTCATGCCTGCCCCTCGGCTGTTTCCTCTGTGGCTCTTACCATGATCTGTCATTACCTCAGGCACTGGTTTGTTTCCGGGGTCACTGTCTGTCTCCCTAAATTTCTGAGAAGCCCCATGAGATTGTGGACTATCCACCACGGCAACCCCGGGGCCCAACACAGGGCCGGCCCCAAGCCAGTGCTCCCAGAAGGAGGGAAGGAAGGAAGGAAGGAAGGAAGGAAGGAAGG